TAAGAGTGCTTTAAATGTGTTACATGGATGTGGCCTCACTCTCGGAAGATCTGATGTGGACCCCCCATGAGAAATTCTTCTGATCTTCTCAAGACTTCATCTGCTTCCACCAGAATCCCTTGGGTATTTCTTGTAAGAAGAACCCTCCCAACCCACCTCGAAATTTCACGTTAGGTGAAATTCGGTGTCAAATTTAAACCCCTTCTCCTGCAAGACAATTTCTTTGCTGCGTTCGTGTTATGTTCGTGAGACATTCGTTCATGCCAGATGATGCAATTTACATTAGCAGCTAAAGACCACCCACATGCATTGATGGATGCCAGACGTTTTGTGGATTCCTGCCCAAACTGGTGACAGCAGAAAAAATGGATTTTTTCGGTGTGTGGCAGCAGGCTTTTTGGAAATGTTTCTTTCTACAGAAACATGGCATTTAAGTAGCTTGGCACAATAGGGGGAATTCAGACTAATATACCAAGAATTTGAGTCTTGGTGATATGACGTATGGATATCCTGATCTGTGTATATGTTTGTGGAAGAATAGTGACACTGATTGCATTTCATATACTAGAGATAGATGATAGATGATAGATGATAGATGATAGATAGATGATAGATAGATAGATAGATGATAGATAGATAGATAGATATAGATAGATAGATAGATAGATAGATAGATAGATAGATAGATGATAGATGACAGAGAGAGATAGAGAGATAGAGAGATAGAGAGATTAGATAGATGATAGATATTTAGATATAGATGATAGATAGATAGATAGATAGATGATAGATGATTGATGATAGATGATAGATGATAGATGATAGATGATAGAGAGAGAGAGAGAGAGAGAGATGATGATAGATAGAGAGAGATATGATAGATGATAGATATAGATAGATATAGATAAATAGATAGATAGATGATAGATATATATAGATGATAGAGATAGATAGATATATGATTCCAATATTTACATATCTTATTATATATAATATCATAAAAAATGGAAAACTTACATGAATTTACTATATAAGATGATCAAGTAGTATAAATGTTTCTTACTATTAATAGAAACCAACCATTAGTTATAAAAGCATGTAGGATTGTTCCATTACCAGCAAAGCACTTTGTTCATGCCTATTGAAATACCGAGTCTTTTTTGTAATTCTCTTTTGCAGCATAATTCAATGCAATAGTTCTGTTGCTAAAATTTACTTTTGATGCACAATGGGTTCATTTCAATTCCTTTGAACGTTAGGACAGGGACGTAACTCAGTGGTAGAGAATCTGCTGTGCATGTCAAAGGTCACAAGTCCTGTCCCCACCATCTGCAGGTAAGGTTGAGAGAGACTCTTACCTGAAAACCTGGGAAACTACTGCCAGCTAGCAGACAATCCTAAGCTACAGATGGACCACAGGTCTGACTCATTTGTCAGGGAACTGACATCGGAGCCAGAGGCGGAGGCTAGGCTCCCAAGTGATGCTGGAGAAGGGGCCCAGCAGGAGAGAGGCAGCTCATCAGCTGGGGAAGGAAATCAGCGTAACACCAGGGATAAAGGGGGCAGATGGGGAATCGGCGAGGGGCTCCAGGACTCCTCGCCGGAGACCAGCGGGGAGAGCACGGGTCCTCCGCTACCCACACCCTCCCTGCGCAGAAGACTTCCGTGCAGGGAGAGTAGGAGGAGACTTGGCGTCAAACAGCTTTTATGTTGGAAATGGTGTCAGTGACGCCCACTGGCCGGATTCTGCTAGCGACTGAGACAGCCATGAAGTGAAGGGCTGTCCGGACAGGAAAGGTTTAACCAGGCAAGCTAGCCAGGAGTGGCGGCAACTTACGCACGAGCAACCCCTATTCTTATTACATCATTATAAGGCAGCTTCCTGTGTTCCTGTATTCATGGAATATATTTGTAAAATCCCAACCTAGATTCTTTCCCCCCTCCTCCCATCTTTTCTTTATGTATGTGATATAATACACACATATCTTTGTGTCCAGAGGTAGGCAACCAAGATGATCAAGGGTCTCGAAACCAAGCCTGATGAGGAACGGTTGAAGGAGCTGAGTATGTTTAGCCTTGAAAGAGGAGACTGAGAAGAGATAGGATAGCCATCTCCAAATATCTCAAGAGCTGCACATGGAAAATTATTATTGTTGTTGTTATTGTTGTGTGTGTGTTGTTACCCAGCTGGGTTTCCCCAGCTGCTCTGGGCGGCTCCCAGCTGAATATTAAAAGCACAATAAAACATGAAACATGAAAAACTTCCCTAAACAGGGCTGCCTTCAGATGTCTTCTGAAAGTCAGATAGTTGTTTATTTCCTTGACATCTGATGGGAGGGCATTCCACAGGGCGGGCGCCACTACTGAGAAGGCCCTTTGCCTGGTTCCCTTTAACCTCACTTCTCGCAGTGAGGAACTGCCAGAAAGCCCATGGAGCTGGACCTCAGTGTCCGGGCAAAACGACGGGGTGGAGACGGCTCCTTCAGGTATACTGGGCCGAGGCCCTTTAGGGCTTTAAAGGTCAGCACCGACACTTTGAAAAGGGAGCAAGCTTGTTTTCTCCTGCTCTGGACGGTAGGACTCAAACCAATGGCTTCAAGTTCCAAGAAAGAAGATTCCGACTCAACATCAGGAAGAACTTTCTAACCGTAAGAGCTGCTTGACAGTGGAATTGTCTCCCTCTGGAGACTGTGGCCTCTCCTTCCTTGGAGGTTTATAAGCAGAGGTTGGGTGGCCACCTGTCATGGATGCTTCAGGTGAGATTCCTGCATTGTAGGGGGTTGGACTAGATGACCCTTGGAATGCTTTAAGAGAGAATATTATGAAAATGATATACAGGTGGTACATGACCCCAGTCAAGCTTGCAAAAATCTATCATTTGCCCGATAATAAATGTTGGAAATGTAAAGAAACTGAAGGCACATTCTTTCACCTTTGGTGGACGTGCCCAAGGATTAAGGCTTTCTGGGAGATGATTTATAATGAAATAAAAAAGGTATTTAAATATACCTTTCTGAAGAAACCAGAGGCCTTTCTTCTGGGCATCATCGGCCAATTGGTGCCAAAGAAGGATAGAACCTTTTTTATGTATGCCACAACAGCAGCAAGAATACTCATTGCAAAGTATTGGAAGACACAAGATCTACCCCCTCTGGTAGAATGGCAGATGAAGGTGATGGACTACATGGAATTGGTGGAAATGACTGGCAGAATCCGAGACCAGGGAGAAGAGTCGGTGAAAGAAGACTGGAAGAAATTTAAAGACTATTTACAGAAATATTGTAAAATTAAGGAATTTTAGAAGGATGTTGGATAGAAACTAAGTGGTTTCCAGCTGTAATGCTTTAAGAGATACGAAAAAGGTTTTATAAATGGGTAAAAGCTTAATGGTAAGGACTTGCTGAACTAACAAACTGAACTGGAATACAAAAAAGGGAGGTACGAGGAGGTCCGGGGAAATAAGTGAAAGGAAGATATGTTATGGAAAATTAACGATGTGTTTTTAATTGTTTTTATTTTGTATGTTTCCTTTTATTTTTCCTTTTTTTTGTTATATCTTAAAAACTTTATTCTTTTTTCTGTATTTTGTATTTTCTTGTATTTTTATTTTCTGTTTTTGTATTCTTTGAAACTTTAATAAATATCATTAAAAAAAAAAAGGAATCCCTTCCAGCTCTAAAATTCCATGCTTCTATAATACAGTAGAACATCTGCTTTGCATGCAGAAGGTCACAGGTTCAGTTTCCAGGTGGGGCTGGAACAATCATCTGCCTGAATCCCTAGAGAGCATCTGTCCATCAAGATGCACAATCCTGAGCTAGATGTACCAACCATCTGACTGTGTTCCTATGTTCCATCCTATGTCTCTTCTACTGTAATACAGTCATACCTCGGGTTACAGACGCTTCAGGTTGCGTTTTTTCAGGTTGTGGACCACCGAAACCCAGATGTACTGAAACGGGTTACTTCTGGGTTTTGGCGGTCACAGATGCGCAGAAGCACTAGATTGCACTTTGCACATGCGCAGAAGTTCCAAATCGCAACCTGCGCATGTGCAGATGCGCAGACACGGGTTGCGATCGCTGCAGGTTGCGAACATGTATCCCGCACGGATCACGTGCGCAACCCGACCATCCACTGTAATTATCTTGAAAGTTTTCTCTGTTTTCAAGAGATTACTTGATTCCCACACCCCACCACCGCCATCCCTGGGAGGTGTGGAGGGACAGTATAGGAAGGAGTTGATTATTTAAGAGCCCGGTATGTGTGCAAGAATGTGCACATGAGTTTGTGTGTGTTTGTGAGAGCGCGGGAGAGGCAGAACAAGAGAGCTCTGCAAATGAAAGGGCTTGAGCTGGTTCTGTGTACGGGTGTGTGTGTTTTGCATACACAGCAAGTATAACTACGCGCCAGATTTATGGGCATTGTGGACTGGTTGCTATGACAACCCCTCCAGCTGCTCTGCACCAAATAACCTTGTCATGTGAGCATTTATCACGAGCACATCATCGAGTACAGGATTGCACTGTGCGCTCATTGCCTAAACAGCAGGAGGCTTCCTGCATATTAATTGCTCCCGGCCTTTTATATGATACGAGTCAAAGTCCCCAAATTATCTCGACACCGGAGAAGGATAGAGAAGAGTTGGGCTGTCCTGTTTTTCGAAGGCAGCCTTTCTCAACCTGTGGGTCCCCAAATGTTGTTGGACTACAACTCCCATCACCCCTAGCTAGCAAGGCCAGAGCTCAGGGATGATGGGAGTTGTAGTCCAACAACATCTGGGGGGCCACAGGGTGAGAACTGCTGTTCTAAGGCTAGCCACAACCTTGCGAGCAACAGGACCATTTATGAAACTGGGTCAAGCCATCAGTCCACCTGTCTAAGGATTGTCTGCTCTCAGCTTGCACAACCTACAAACCATCAAGGCCAACATTACCCACCAGGAACACAAGGAGGTGCCTTATACAGATTCAGACCCTTGCTCCATCTCACTCAGTGTGGTCTACACTGGCTCAGTTGGTCGAGCATAAGACTCTTAATATTAAGGTTGTGGGTTCGAAACCCACGTTGGGCAAAGATCTCTGCATTGCTGGGGGCAGATCTCATAGTAGCATCAGAGGCCACCTGAAACTAAGTGAGGCCCTTGGTCCATCTAGTGTAGTACTGTGGCAGGTGGCACACCAGGGTTTAAGGTGGCAGGTTTTGGTGTCCACTGGCCAGTTTACTATCATTCTGTATCCTAATGCAACATTTGGGCTCCTTTGTACACACACTTGGGGCATCACTTTATCTCCATCCATGCTGGCTTCTGTATTTTGCACTAACAGCCCCATAGGGAGTACATGGATTCACCAGAACATCATCATCATCATCATCATCATCATCATCATCATCATTGTTTTATTTATATCCTGTCCTCCCCAGCTGAAGCTGGGCTCAGAGTAGCTAACAACAGTAAAAATAACACAGTTTACATAAAATCACAATAGATTCTAAAATCAAATCTAAAATCAATTCATTCTAAAATCAATTCAGAGTCAAATTAATGGCAACCATTGGGCTAGAGTTCTATGAGGATTACAGGAGGAGGGGGTCAGACTGTGCCTTGGCCAAAGGCCTGGGGAAACAGCTCTGTCTTGCAGGCCCTGCAGAAAGATGTCAAGTCCCGCAGGGCCCTGGTCTCTTGTGACAGAGCGTTCCACCAGATTGGGGCCACAGCCAAAATAGCCCTGGCTCTGGTTGAGGCCAGCCTAACCTCCCTGTAGCCCAGGATCTCCAAGATGTTTTTCTCAACATGTGTCTCAATACCAGGATGTGCCTGTTCACGAATGGCTGAAGCTGTCCAGAGCTCGAGTGACACTCTGGAATTGGGGTATGTTGGCCAAGGACAACTTAGGTGCATTGACACATGGGAGATACTGTGTTATTTTCCCTGATTATAATGCTAGCACTTCTATTGTGTTTTCAAATGATCTTTAAAGCCCTAAACAGCCTCGGTCCAGTATACCTGAAGGAGCGTCTCCACCCTCATCATTCAGCCCAGACACTGAGGTACAGCGCCGAGGGCCTTCTGGTGGTTCCCTCACTGCGAAAAGCCAAGTTACAGGGAAGCAGGCAGAGGGCCTTCTCGGTGGTGGTGCCCGCCCTGTGGAACGCCCTCCCACCAGATGTCAAAGAAATAAACAACTACCTGACTTTTAGAAGACATCTGAAGGTAGCCCTGTTTACGGAAGTTTTTAATGTCTACTAGACTATTGTATTTTAATATTCTGTTGGGAGCCACCCAGAGTGGCTGGGGAAACCCAGCCAGATGGGCAGGGTATAAATAATAAACTATTATTATTATTATTATTATTATTATTATTATTATTATTCATTTCACACTGCAGCTCCTGCTATCTTGTGGAACTGTGGGTGTTTTGACCAACATACTGTCTTGGCACACTAAATGTCATTCACACAGCAACAAAGCAACGTGGTTTCTCCCTCATCCTTTCTGTTGCCTGGATAGCTCAGTTGGTTAGAGCGTGGTGCTGATCATGTCAAGGTTGCAGGTTCGATCCCTGTATGGGACAGCTGAATAGTCCTGCATTGCGGGGGGTTGGACCAGATGATTCTTAGGGTCCCTTCCAACTCAACTATTCTACATTCTCCCAAGATTCGTCCATAAAAGCAGCAGGAGAGAATGGCATGCTAGTCTATCGCCCCAAATTCCATCGCTTTACTCCCATGATTTTCTGAGTTAAGGGCGTTGCAAACTGTTTTGTTTTCTTTCTGGAAGCAATTAACGTGGAAATTAGCAGTAAGCTTCCACTATATTCCACTAGATTTTCTGGAAGTGGCTTTTACATTGTGCGAAAGCTCAGATTGAATGCAAAAATGAACTATCAGGGAAACAGAATAAAGTGCTGTGTGAATTCAGGGGTAGTGGCTCTCTGGAGGTGCTCCTTTGCAAGTAGAAGAATGGACAAGGCATGGGCTTCTTGTGCTAACTCTAGCAATTTCTATCTTTAAATTAACATTTTCAAAGAAGCCAGAAGCATTTCTACTTGGAATTCTAGGCAGTGATATCCCAAAAAATATAAGAGAAATCTTTTTATATGCAACAGCCGCTGCCTGGTTATTAATTGCATTGAACTGGAAAGGGGGGAAAGTACCAAAAGTAAGGGAATGGCAGAATAAATTATTAGACTACGCAGAAATGGCTCGACTGACAAATAGATTAAGGGGGAATACAAAACAACCATTCACGCAAAAATGGGATACGTTCAAGAAATACCTACAAAAATATAACAACGACATAACAACTACGGCAGTGTTTGAATGACCCTTGTGTAAATTAAATATTATTAAATAAGGAAAAATGGTATG